AGGGCCCCTGTTCTGCCCCGTCTGTCCCGTCCCGCCAATCCCACCGAGGCCCCCTGCTCTGCCAGGTCTGTCCCGTCCCGCCAATCCCACCGAGGCCCCCTGCTCTGCCAGGTCTGTCCCGTCCCGCCAATCCCACCGAGGCCCCCTGCTCTGCTCCGTCTGCCCCACCCCGCCCATCCCACCGAGGCCCCCTGCTCTGCCTGGTCTGCCCCGCCCTGCCCAGCGAGAGCTGCACAGGAGTGAGGAGAAGGCAGATATGCCCAGGCCGAGTACTACAGGAGCCACCACCTTCCGCTCCAGGCCCCCGGCAGCTGCCCCTACCTCCCCGCATGGGCCCCACCGCTCCAAGCAGGCTCGTTCCCATTTGAGAGCCCATGGTCCGTTCGTGAGCAAAGGAGCAGCAGCAGCCGAGGGAGACAGTCTCACTGAAGTGCTCTGGGCCTGACACAGGCCTGGGCTGGAAAGACACTGAACCCACTGTGGGGGTTTGAAGATAAAGCTGGTGCCAACTGTGACCTACCCAAGCCAAACAGTCTGGGTGCCAGCTGCCTGCCCCTGCCCCCCAAAGCACCACAGCTGGGGCAGTAGAGGAGGGGGCTCTGGCAATGCACAGCCCCCGAGGATGCCTAGGCTCTGGGAACTGCTTCCCTCCTTGATCCAAAATAGCTGGGGTCTTTTGACCTTTGTGGCACCCTGCAGAGCCCATCAGCTTGCTAGGCCCTTCGGGGAGGGATGAGGTATTTATTATTAGAGGGAAATCTCATTTCAGCTGGGGGGTCTCTAGCCTGCCCTGTCAACAGAGGGTTATTTTAAGTCTGGAGCTGGGGGCGCACATCTTAGTGTACTTAGACTGAAATCATTTTGCACTAAGCAAAGCGTGAACTCACTATCGCTGAATCCTGGAGACAATCGTGCTGAAAGCCGCCTGCACGTCTGCCGAGGAGCACGTGCAGACCACGGGGAAGGTGTGCTTTTGCAGAACATCTGAGAGAAACTGGAAGACAAAACCTGCTCAGAAACTGTCAAAACTCTTAACCAGAAGCCCACGTCCACCCTTCGCCCAGCTGGGCTATTTTCAGACAAAGGTGTTTCCAGCCCTCTTTGGCATGACTGGCGGGACTTTTCTAGGACACCTCTTCCCGGAGTACTCACTTCAAGAGGGGCCCTTCAAAGGCAGGCCAGCCCTTCAATCGGGCGCAGGACTGCAGCCCGGGGAGGCATCCCCACGGCAGGTTATCTAGCCAGCGTAGCTCAGGGACAGGTGCAGATGTGTACCCAGGCCAGGACACGGCGCCATCATTACTTCGCTGACTTCTGGCCACGCTCGCTGGATGGACGCTAGCGGGGTTACACCTGCTGGAGCCGCAATCACACCCTTGAACACAGCCCAAGCACACCCTAAGCGTGCAATGTGTGCCTTCCGGCGGGCAGGTCACAGCGCTCCTCCCGTGTCAGCAGGCTGGCACCGCTCGTCTCACTTCAGCATGGCGGGAGACCGGCAGCCAAACACCCCTCTAAATGCCTTCTCGGCGGGCCACAAGCGCCAGGGAGAGAAGAACTCAGCCACGTCCAACGAGCAGGGACTAACCTGGGACAACGCCACTAAGGGACC